GGTTTAGTTTTGGTTGTTTTATCTTCTTTCGCATATTTCGAAGCCATTTTTGGCATGTTTTTCAATATACTTTTTACGTAAGGACAACATTGAGAGATACTTTTTCTAACTGCATTTTCCTAAGACAACATTTTTACAAATTGTCGAAAAGTAAGAAGAAAATTCAGTGATAGGATAGAGTCTGAAATCATACTTGTGTGTTTCCGTTTTCAGTCAGCATCAAAAGCTTCAATCTGATACAGTAGATAGAGCTGTAACGTTATTTCAGTTAGAATGCGATTTAGTGGAACAAAGAGAAAGTTCGAAGGAGAATGTATGCCAACTGCAGAAAGAACTTTTCACATGTGAACAAGAGAAAATTGTGCTAAAGGAACAATTTGAAAATATTTTGCAGCAATTTTCTGCTCTGGTATGTTACGATATTGGAACATTTACAATTTTTGGTTTTGGTTAATATGAATGATCTCTAGCCAATTTTAAAAAATATTACTGACAGTTGTCTTTCTATTAACCTTGCTTTATCTTTTTTGATATTTTTATTTATTTATTTATTTTTTGATATCATATTCTGGATATATTGTAGAATGAAGAATGTTCAAGATGTAAGGATAATGAAGTTGAATTACTGGAAAACATGAGCCAAAAAGAACTGTTAATAAAGGTAAATGCACCAAAAGATAACATTCTTTTCTGGACACTTTAGCTGTCGATTGCAGATATATTTTTTATTTAGGAGAATTTCTCCTTGAAAATAGTATTTTGGTTCTTTTTCTAGCTGATCAACTATGGAAGTTACAAAATTTAGTGTAAAAGTAAGTTTTTAACCTGTCTAGGTATGAATTATATCCCAAAAAGATATGCTTTTCTTTACGGTTTAGGAAATTGAACGATTTAAAAATTAAGAAATAAAAAGTTCGACAAAATATATACATGATTGAAATTCAATTATTATAGGAATTAGAACAAAATATCAGGAGTTTAATGGCTGGATTGGAATGTGAAAGGAATAATCATGATAAGTCTGTAAAAGATTTACAGTATGAACTAAGCCAACTTCAACAGAAGAATACGGCAATATTGACCGCGAAAGAAAGAGTTATATTTTTGTTTCTCGTGATGCTGATTGCGATATTTCATAAAGTGATGAAAATTTTCTTTAGTTTCATTGTTAGGGAGTTAAATGGTGGCGTGTTTTGAAGTGAAGTTAGAGAGGGGAGTGAAAGCAGCATCTGTGATATAAATAAAACTTCGTCGAGAACAAGAATAGCTCCAAACTTTTGGACACTGGTAAAGGGTTTTCAAAATACAAAATTAACAGAATGATATCAGTTACTATTTGCGTACAGAAGTATTTCTGGGATGTGTACTTATGTGAGTTTCCAGGAATTGGTGATTCAAATGGAAACAGTTTCTGAATTGAAGGAGGAACTTCATGCTAAGGAGAGGCAGTTATCTGACATAATGCAGGAGATGGTAAAGTTACTGTTTTTAATCGTATTTCTAAATTAGTTTCGTCACCGAAATTGCTAGCATTAATGCTGTTGAGCATCTCTGCATTGCAAAATGTGATAACATGCTCGCTGCGTGAATCTATTGTGAATTACAGTCATGCATAGTAGCTTGCAGTGAAATCTGTAACTTAAAACTTTTTTACAGTAATCAACTACTAGTAATGGTTCCTCAACTCCTAGTAATGGTTCCTGCAAAAGTCAAAGTTATATTCAAAAATTCATAAATAAATTGATATTGTAGATAAAAATATTTGATTCACAGGAAAGGGTACGTAATGAATTGCGCTCAAAAGAAGAAGGAAGATATACTCTGGAAAATGACGCATTAAAATTGAAGAGGCAAAACGTGGAGGTATTTGGATTCAAAGTTTTTTCCGATATGTTCTGAAAATTCTCAAATTTTGTTTCTTTATATTGCAGTTGCGGAAGGAATTGGATCAGCTTGAAAAAAGCACATCACAACTCAAAAATGATTTTGAAAAAGAAACTAATTTGCTGAAAAACAGTTTGGTTTGTTTTTTTTTTTTTAATTCTAAATGCACTCTATTGCATGGTTTTTGTTGATTTTTTTTTTATATATGAAATTTCCTTGCAGGAAAACTGTGAAAAGAATAAAGAAGAAAGCCTGTCGAGACTTCATGTGCAGTTAGAAGCAGAAAAAAATAGGCTAAAGGAGATTTCAAAAGATAATGAAGAAAAAGATAAAATTTTGAAGCGAATAAATGATGATTTAAAAAAGGCCAATGAAGATTCAAATAAATTAAGCATTCTTCAAAGCGGTAGGTTTTCCTGTTCTCTTAATGTTACTATTTTGTCACGGAAGTCCTTTTGAAGAATCCTGTTAAATTGATGTAAAATTGATCTATTGCTGTAATATTTACCTGCAGAATTGGAGAAAAAGAAAACAGAATGGTTACAAGAAAAACGAGCATTACAAGAAAGGTTGGTGTGATGCCTTTGCACTGCACTCGACAAAACTTAGGGTGGACAAAAAACTTCTGAGCAAAAAAAATTGGGAAGTTTACTCAGTTTTCAGGTGTTTAACAGCAGAAAATGATCTGGAGTTTGAACGCGAGCGAGCTATTGTAAACAAGAGAAATTTCGATGATGTTCAAACTGCTATTCGGGAACTTGGACGAGTGAATCAAAATTTGCAGGTTAGACTTATACAGTATCCATTTCGTGCTGCTGATTTGTAAATTAATAGTTTTCCACAAAAAAGAAAACTTTTTTGTAATAAATTCAGAAAATAAATAATTTTTCAACTGTAAGGTCATAGTAAGCTTTGATACACTGCTTTAACTTCAATTCTTTATCATGAATTTCTGAATGAATAACAAGTGTGAAATTGTAACTTTTCTCTCACTTTGCTTATTTTACGCATGATTTAAAATATTTTGGTACTTTGGATTACTTAAAATTTTAATTTTTTAGATGGATTTTGCAAAGCAAATATCACGTAAATGGTTGGAAGATTCAGAGGCCATAAATTGTCATACTTGTGACAAACCATTTACTCTTACAAATCGCAAACATCATTGTAGACAATGTGGACAAATATTTTGTGCCTCGTGTTCGTCGTTCACAGCTAAAATTGCGTCATCAAGAAATCCGGTTCGTGTTTGTAATGCATGTCACGAAGAAATTATGCATCGATAATCTCAAATTCTTGGGTTTTCCCAGGGGCACATTTAAACAGTGCTTCTCTTTTTCTGAGTAGGCAATATCTCTTACTGTATAGATATATTTGTTAACTTTTGCGGTTCATATAGTAGTATTTATTTGTTGATGAATTGTATACATAATTCTAAATATAATCAGGATCTATTACTAAATTCTTTGACTTTTCTAGTTTTTTTGGAAAGTTTGTCTACATATGCATGATTTTGATTAACTGATGTGCAGCTAGAAAGTATTTTTGTTTAGTAATCCTTCAACTTTTTTTTTTGAAATCCGTCTTTCTTAACTGCAAAAATTTTAATCTCCACTTATTTGTGCCTTCAAACTTTATATAATTGTAATTGGTGGGACTGTTTTTCGCTAAATTTTTCGCGAACGGAAGTTTATATTGTTCACTCTTCCCTATTTATATATGCTGTGATATTGAAGTAGTTGTTATCCTGTTCTATAATATTGTGATTATTGTCTTTATTTGAGTAGTCAGTGCTGTCATTTTAATTACTTTGTTTTTAAATCTTTAGAATATTCACCATATCATGTGGGCTCATAATTTATTTCTGTATATTATATCATTTTCGGTCACAGCAGTGCGATAGTAGATCTTTAGCAACTGCTTAAAAAGTTTAACAAAGCTATTCTCTTCAGAAGAAATTATCCTTCTGGATACGTATTATGGATATCCTTTCTTTACACTTGAAAACTCAACAGTGCAATTAAAATGTAAAAGACAAAGTAGGATAGTTCACTTGGTTTACCAGAGAATTAATCTATTTTTTTCATTCAAATCTAATGCAAGGGAAAGTTGATTGTGAAGAAGAAATTCGAATCTTCGTATGGATCTAAGACTACCACTTGCTTGAATGTTTTGTTTAATTTAGTATTTTATATTTCGATTTGCTTTCTAAGGTTTTAACCTGTGATTCTGAACTGAATCCGACTACTCCACTAATCAGTCTCTCAGAAACACGCAATTTAATTCCTGAAAGTTCCATTTAAATTTCGTCGCTCAAACTGATTGTTTTATAGTCAGAGGTTTAGTAAAGTTAATGAGGAATTAAGCTGAACTCTGAAATTTGAAACAATCATCCATAAGGGGATTAGATTTTCACAGTTTTTGTCAGAACTTTGGTTTAATGCGTTTACCGTTTATTATAAAAGTACAATTTAAATTTAGCGTTACTCGCCATCAAAATTGGATTTCTCTGGAATAAATCGGCGATTTTTAGAAACTATTCCGAATTTATAGCTGCGAGAATTAATTAATGTGTCAAGTTTCTGTAGTGCAATGTCAGAAATGTTTAAGATTAAAGTGAATAGCTGGGGATCATAGTAATATCTACGTTTGTTGATTATCGCAGTTGGTTATTTCAAATGTAGACTGGTTCCGAGTGTGAGACTAGTTGCTAGCCAAAATCGAAAAATAATTGCCGAAGTGAATATATATTGATTTTATATTAAAACAAACTGCAAGTTAGAAAATCAGTTTTAAAGCCAAATAGATACTAATTTCCTGATCAAAATAGTAGCAAAAATCATGAATTCATCAGAAATCACTAGGACGATAGGGTAATCAAATATGATACATTTGTCGTCTCTTTTTAGTGACAGTTATCATATCAACAAACAGATCCTCATCCATTAGAACCACGCCTTCGTTTCTTTTTTTCTCTTTATTGATGGTAATGGTAATTGTCACTAAGAAGAGATGACACAGACAGCGAAAAGCTCATCATAGATTACTGTCAGGTACAGGTAGGCGGCAAGCTTCCTACAACGTCCCCTAAAATTAGAGACTAAAATTGAATTTATATGTGTAATACAGTCGCTCTTAGCACAGCATCATTACTGCTGTTAATATTACTGTTAAGTTTTGGAAGAGATACTCATGCTATTGCTTGTACTTATTTGGGTGAACGACACAACAATGGTGATCGATGGGTAAGTGAAATCAAAATTTTCTGATTTTTTAAAATTAAAAAATCTGAAATATTTAATAGGGATGATAAAAAAGAGCAAATTCTCTTTCTCCGTAAATCATAAACGGTAGATATGTATGTGATTTAAAAGAATACCTTAGTGGCAACATCATTCAGAATATTTGCATATTCAGCAAACCTGGAAATAGCAGAATAAATATGTAAAAATCATTTAATAAAATGTAGTCATTTAAATTATAACTACATAGCATAGATGAACGCTATTTTAGTTAGTTCGATCAGCGTTTATTATCGAATGTCACATTTATTTGAATGGATCTTGGCGAGCCGATGTTGTTGCATGTCAAACGCCGGAAGGTGTCGAAATGCATGACGGTGACGAGATTGTAGAGAATGATATAGTTTGTTTGTTCTTCTGAATGCTGCATGAATTTTGGATTATTTAAATTAAGGGAAAGTTGAGGAAGAATTTAAACGATGATAAATAAAATGAGAAGAGAAATATCAAGAACATTAAGGTATGAGTAGTGCAAAGAAACTTGGTCATAACATAGGCTTTTTTGAGTTAATTTTCAATTTTTTAATTCAGCTTTCTCTCTTCTTGCTGAATATCTTATTATTTGAATGCATAAGATCAAATAAATACTATTTCTCATAACACTTAAGCATTTGCAGTAATTTTTGAACGAAAGCTAAACCCGATTAAATAACATTCTTCAGAAATTCCACTGTGTAAAATTGCCGTCGGGTGGGTATCAGATGCAGAAACAATACATCATTCGAAATATTAATTGTGAAGGGCATCGCTTTGGTAAGCATTCCTATTTCATTACATTTTAATTAAACTATAATATTTTTGTGGGTCTAAATATTCAAGGTGCTTTTTGTTGATTCATAATTGCTTCATTGCATTTCGTGTTTTCATTTTGAACAGTTGTGTAGGAGAATGGTGGGTCAGTAAAAGAAACTTCAACAAAACTTGCACATCAACCGGAACACATATTGTGAATTGCTTAACGGATACCGGCATTCCGATTACATTGAACACATCTGTTACACTAAATGGAACTCGATATAAGTTTGTTTCTATTTCTGCTAAAATTCATGGCTACTCCACCATTCCAAGTTTTAGTTAATGCCACTAATGAGAATGCTTGCACAAGGCAATGAATTGTTTCGAATTTCTATTTGAAGCATTATCAATTCGTCCATTGTACTGTTAATCACTAACTCTTTTTCCTTGAGAGTGCATTTTACGGTCAATTTGTTTATTGTACGTTCAATTAAATTGTGACCAGTGACTTCAAATATAAGCATAAGAGAATATATAGCAATAATTGTGAAGCTTTTGTAGTTTGGTTTAAATCTAAAGCAGTAAGCGTTAATTAATTAAAAATATGATACAGTTGGACTAATTTGATGTCTTTTAAAATTGAAATTAATTTCTTTATACCAACAATAGTTTCAGTTGTATAGCCCGTAGTGATGGTGTAGTAACCCTAACACGTGATTTCCCGGGAAATTTGCGCACTGTACCAAAGACTGGACAAATTTATTGCATTGTTAACGGTATGAGGAGGAAAACTGGTGAAACGTTCGTTTTTTTTTTTCTCTCAGATTTTTTTTTTAATTTGCAAGTTTTGAAATCTTCAGTTATTATTACATGCTTTACTGTACAAAAGGTTTATAAAGTTTTTTATGAGAATCAGGTTTTTTTTTTTAAAGTCTATCGTAATTACTACTACTACTGTATTCATGCTAAATTCATTATTAATGAGTTATTTCAAGATGGGTCGAAGATACGAATTTTATTAAAAAATGCAATGAACGGGCTGCAATTACTGTTGAAGCTTGTATCGCAGACGGTCTCATCATCGATCTCAATTCAAAAGTTACCCGTAATGGTAAGGTGAGTTCTTTGGAGCACGCTTTCCCTGACATATATATCAATCACCAGTTTCTTACACATTTCCAACCTTTCCGTTCACCAATTTCCTTCCATTTGAGTTTTGAATTACTTTATCTTTCAAACACCTAAATGTCTTAAAAATAAACCGGTCTAAATTATTGAAATGTATTAAATGGTTTTTATATCATTCTTTTTTAAAATTATTTCAAGTGGTACAAATGTCTTAAATAAATTTTCCTTTAAGCTATTATAGCATCACTTGATCTAGTAAGTAATAATTTTACAAGAAAAAAAAACATAATTGTTATTTATATAACACAATTCTTAATCAGTTCGACTGTCTGGTAAATAATGTACGATATTCTTCATCATAAGCTTAGAAATTGTTAACATGGACTTCAATACCTGTCAGTATAACAGTTTGTGAAATTAAATTTCCTGAATTGAGCTAACTGTTATTGGTAGACAACTAAGTTTTTAATTGGTGAGATAGAAGCATTTTAATATTCCAGTAGGTAGTAAAGATTTGAAAATCAGTAAACTGTACAAAGGGTAGCGCAAAAGAATGATTTCAGCACCAAACAGAAATTTTTGGCCGTTCCTAATTTTGATTTGCGGTACAAGGTCGCCTCATTTCATTACTGGAAGAATTCTATTTACAGACGTACACTTGCACAGGCAGTGGTCATGGGAATGCTTTATTCAAAATTATATCAGTTACTGACATCATCACTCATTCTTGGTTCAATTTAAATTATTTTTCCATTTTGTTTAAATTTTGTTTTCTTCAGCTGAATAAAGAACAGTAAGAAAAACAATTTTTTTTTTTCGGCGAAATAACAATTAAAAAAGGCGTAATACTCAATTAATGGGTTTATGTGAGCATTTTAATGCTAATAATTGGAAAGTGTTACTTTGTTACTTCACAACAAGCTTACATATTATTAATTTCTCATAACCAAATATTCAAATTTTGATTTCATTACATGCAGGGGTGATAAATAAAATAAAGTAGGTAAGAACCGGACGACCAACTGTTTATTTAGATCAAAATAATTGAGTTTTTAGCCAGGCAGTTATTGATTATTATTGATTAGTAGATATTTTCAGACTAAAGAAATCGGTTCGTTCGAAGATAGTATAATAAACAGAATCAAACAAATGAACTGAAGACGATATTGTTATAACGAAAAATGAATGCAATTATAATATTTCAAAGACTTTCTTATAATTGAAAAAAACTTCTGTCATTTGTTTTTGAAATTAGAATAAAAATGATCTAATGAATTTCTTGGGACAACAATAGTTTTACTAAAATTATATAAAATTTTCGAGTTGCTGAGTCTTTTAATATTATTTGAAAATAAAATATGAAAGTAAAGTTTTGAAATTAATTTTATGCATCATTAGGATTTTATTTTTTTAAAGTTGTAATATTATTTGAAGACTTTTATTTAATAAAAAAAAAGTTAAAAAATAAAGAAGAATTTATGTGTAATTTCGAACTGTTGATTTGATTGATAAGTGTCATTAAATTCTATCGGTTCAAGTATTCAAGTACCATTCATTAATTTAAGATAAATGTGTCATAAATGTGACTTGTTAACTAGCCTTAGTTTACGATTTTCGTAACATCAATTGGTGTTTCAGATTAAAATTAACACGATGAATTGTAAAATGATATTAGTTCAATCTCATCCACACTATATTGTTCCATTTAAGAAATAACTTCATAATACTTGGTTAAAGTAAGAGATTTTAGAAAGAAAATAAACTAAATCCATTTAAAATCTTTGAGGAGGACTTCAAATGAAAGAAGAATTTTGTTCGTTCAGATAGCTTTGTGTCAATCTTGGATACAAGATTAATTATTCCAAAAATATGCAACTTCTGTGTACTGTATGTTCCGATACAAATAAAACTTTTACAATTTATGCATTTTCAGAAACAAATCTTACAAATTTTTTAGGTAAATTCTTCGCTCATATCATATTATTCTTTGTTCTTTAATAAAGAGCAAAAATTGCGATTTGCTGTAATCTGTGTGGCGTTTTATTCATTGTCATCCATTGCAAAAAGTATATGAGAGCATGCATATCATAGTAACGATAATTTTATAAACTATCAAATTCATATTGGTATTAATTTTTCCTCGAAACGCTTTGGATCGGTTGTCGGATAATATCGGAAATCGAGATAATATGGGTCTAAAAAAGAAGAAATTCATTCGAGCAAAAGTTTTATTTTTTATTTTTTCAATAATCATAAATTTGAAATAACGATAATTTTATTGAAATTATCATTTCTTTTTCTCCTTATCTCCTCATGCATTATTGATTGATATGAACACATTGACCACTCAGAAGTGATCAATCGTCTAGACAATTTCATATATTTCATCAACTTATCCCTATACTTATTTAATGCCAGTTCACTCATTCAGCAATTACCATCGAAATCCTTCTTTTTCTTCTCAGTCTTATTTCTATTCTCTTTTCTTCTCCTGTCCTCTTCATGATACGACAAAGCCGTTTGCAGCTGCATAGCTTCCCGAATGTCCTTGTCATCCTCCCAGTCATATGCGTCCATGAAGTGTGTTCCCAATCGTCTAATACCTTTCATGAACTGCAATTGTGCCAACTTCAAGTCGTATCAGTTTTACTCAGTTTACTACAACGTTTTGGTTTACTACAACAAACATTGTACCAAAATATTCCAAATCAAAAAATTTCAGGAATTGAAAATCCAAAAATTCTACTGAATTTCAAAATTTATCTCGTTTTTGGATTTTCTTTGCAAATAGCAGTACAAGTTAGAATCTCTCTTTCTCTTTCTCCCAGTTCTAATACAAAAAATATTAAAGCATTTACTTGGTCATACATAAATTTGTAATCTGGTCGATCTTTATATTGCAGTGTCATCAAGTGATCATAAATTGGTGTGAATTCAGTCGGAGTTTTCTACAAGCAAAACTATGTGAAATTACTGTTTTTCCGAATATTAACTCGATCAATTCAGGTATATTCAGTACTTCCAGCATTGAATTATATCTCTTCTGTGAGTTTTATCATGTTTTTGTGAAAAAAATAAATTTGTAGAAACTTAATGAAAGTTCAAAATTTTAACGATGATAAGGAAAAGATGACAGCACCGTTCACTTAATTACCTTAAAAAGTTTATCTGTTGTAATTCCTTCCTTCATTTGCAGTAACACTTTCTCATCTTTGATCGCATTCCACGGCAAGCCAGAGCACAGCTCGATGAGCATGTAAAGCAAAGATAACAGATCATCATTTCTACCCTGGAACTGATCTCAATCAGGACAGTACTCCCACAGAATCGTATGCGATAACATGAAGAGAAGCAATCTGAAAGTATTTACGTATCTAACCTGTTCCATACGTCGATGAACATTCGGCGAACAATATCGTAATGTACCTCGCAGCAAAACTCGCTTTCTGGGTTTTCGTAGTACAAATTTTCCTGTATTAGAATCCTTCAGAGCAAATGATCTTACCATACCTATTCATTGATCAATGTAAATTTCAGTTAGGTAATTCTACAAAATTGAAATTAAAGTCGTTCTATTTGAATGAATAAAGCACAGATTACCATAATCAATCATGAAAATAGTTCTACAATCTCGTCCATTTATACCGATTACCATATTACCCGGCTTGACATCGCGATGGACGAAACCGATTTCATGAAGCTAAAAAGAATGAGCATAATACCGGGATGCTTAGATGAATGTGTTAAATCCAAGAAATCTTTCAGCAGTAATCTGATAATTACTTACCCTTTCAGCTGACATCTTGTGAAAATTTTCAGAAATAAAGAGAAATCACCATTTTAATAGCGAACAAGCATTGAACTGCTATGCGCAAAGTTGTTTCAAATGAGAAATGATCGTCATCTCGTTTTATCTTATTGATACCTTTCATTTTTCTTAAAAATGTCAAATCGGGACCGCACAATGTCATCACAATGAAGCTGCAAATTCCTAGTTCTCAGAAAGGAAAATCTCGAGATCTTCATTCAATCTGTACAATTATCATAATCCATTGCTATCTTATAGAAAAGTTGCATAGATCGTCCGTATCCTTTAGCAGTGCTATTTCTTGATATTATCTCTGATAACATTTGAATTAACAACAAAACTTCCCTCACAATACAGTTGACAAATTATCAAATTTATGTGAAATTAGATTGGAAAATTGCCCACTTAAGAATTTTCACAGTTTGAGAGTTATTCAAATTTTAATCAAATACAGTAAATTCATTTTTATATTGAAGAGTTTTATTTCAAATTACAATTTCATTATTAGGCATATTAGCGCTTCTATCAAAGATTTCAGATAAATATTGAAGTAAATTTTATGCCAACCAATAAATATGATGATGAACTTATTAACACTGTATAATTAGATTTGTACAACTCAACATTCTAACGAATTCTCAGAAATAGGATTCCACCAAAAATATCCTCCAAATAAAATTGTACAAAATGGTGCAATCGTAAAATATACGGCAACAAAAACTCATAATGAAACTTATTCCAAACATTTGAACATTTTCTGAGTAACGGCTATTATGTTTTAAGAGGAAGTAAGATCAAAGTTTGCGTGAATTTAGGCCATATTCATGAATCATTGTGTCGTGAAAGACGAAATATTTAAATTATTATATCCAAAACTAACAAATTCCTCTTATCTAATTCCTTTTCCTCACATAACGGTAAAAATCCTAATCGGATATCTGGTCAGCTCAGTTCTGCATATAAACCAATCGTCCTCCATACGGTGGTTCATTCTGCATTTTGGGGTGGTTTTGATATCGTTTTAATGTTTTATAATTATATCTTTTGTTACGCGTTTGTTAATCGGTGTAGCATCCGTACGATATGCATAAAGCGCTATTATTTGCTTTATGTTAAATAAAGGTTTAATTACCCAAGTTTGAGGTTTCACGACACATTGCGGTAAAATTGCAGTAGAAAAAAATGAAAAGCAGTGAGCCATGCTGCGCTTTTGTCTGTTTCCAGAACGTCCACAACACCTCTACCCTGGACCTAACTTTAATTTTTTTCACTAATAACATAAACTTTTATCTTTCTGAACTGAAAATAACCTGTATTTGGGTCTTTTTCCAGAATGTAACAAGCGGATAGTATTTTTTGTGGCACTACTTAATTTTCCTAGGACATAAGCTTCCAATTTCAATACACCTCCATCTGGTAGAGCTGTTGATTCGACCTTAAAGTTCTTGATCATTTAGAGGAGATACTCAGCCATGCTGCTTCCAATATCACATTTTAATGCCCTATTAATCCCAGAACTTACGCCGTCTTATTTCATTTCCCAAAACCTTTCGCTTTTTCTAGAATTTTGATTTGTACTGGGAAAATGCATTACTTTAAGAGCTGCTGCAAAATTTTTCCGTTTAACATGAGTAACTTCATAAACCGCACCGCAACCACCTGCTCCAATTTTTTCCATTATTTTCCATTGTCCTTGGATAACCTAATTTGCAAGATATTAAAATAAATGCACATAGAAATTAATATCGTCTGCTTCATTAAAATCGCCGCAGAAAGCGCATACCGTATTTCCCCTACGGTAGTTATATCGCTGATAAAGCCATAATATTAACCCTCCTAATTATGTGATAACATCTGACCCTACTAGTACTATCTTTTAGTGTGATATATGATAATATCACTATAACCATTTGTTTCATTCTCATTTTTTTATCCGACGATTCTTTACCAAATTCCTTACAATTGAATATACATTATAAAATATTAAATGGAAGTTATGCTAACCAACTCCAAATATTATTCGCTGAAAGATCGTTGCATTCGAAAAATTAAAGGTAAAAATTGATACAAAATTAGGAACTGAGTGGTACAGCAATGCTCATGAATCATTAGAAAATCAAAACTAAAAAAATAAACAATCAAAACTACCAGAAACATAACGAACCTTTCCCAGCCTAAAATCAGGTATTTCGTCCTCATCACCCATTAAATCGAACTTCAACCCACCTACAGAAACAATTCACCCCAGCGTGACTTAAGAAAATAGCAATGCGCGATTCCCACACCTACCCCACTTATATAATGAAGCGCAATTTGCATTCATTTTAAAATTACCTTCCAATTTGTGATATGCATCAAAGCTAATCATTTCCATATATTTGATATCCATTAAAAGAATGAAACAAAATCCTGAGACAAAAGTTTATTTAAAACATAGAAATATAATTCATTTATGAAGACGGTAACGAAGCATGCAACAGTTTCACAATCCTAAATTCTGAATATAAATTAACAAGGAAATAACAACACATTTCTTTTAATGTAACAAAGCTGATTACTGAAGAATTTTCTCTACATCTTCGCTGACAAATACAAAATACAAAACTTAAATCCTTAACTGTGCAGAAATAACAACAGCATGCAATAATCTCAAACATGAAAAAATGATACTTAGTAATTGCTGTTATTCTACCGCTATCGCATCACAGCTCTATAGCTGTATTTTTATCGGAAGCAAAACAACCACAGCAAATTAAAGAATTTATAGATAAAAGATTTCATTCTCAGATTTTAATGAAATATCCAAATATCAGAACATTTCGAAAATTCAACCGCTGCAGTAATCAGAATGTCAGTCATTTTTATCAGGAAATGAGATCTTCAGTTTAAAATCTTGCAAACAGAGATGACTGCTCAATGTTCCAGATTCCGAAGGCTCACGCGCTAAGATCTCCAGCACCTATTTGGAAAGCATCCAGAAAAATACGCTATTTGTGCTAGAGGATTACAAATTTTGCCTGATTTAAATCATCGTGAAAGCATGCTCAAAACACGTGAAACAGAAACTAGATAAATTTAGTGGAATTTAAACCAAATCTGTCAATAATGTGTTAATACTAATAAAAACTTAAACACCAATAAAAATTTAGGAATATGTTCAGTTGTAATCGTTATTACTGGGAGCTGGACTTTCATCTTTCATAGGCTCCTCATTGGCCTCAGGAGCCATAGAACTATTCTCAGCACCACCACCATTCTCGGTAACTGTCGCACCAGTCTGGGATTCATTTCTCTCCGGCGAATGAGAACGAGAACATGCACTTCCAGAGCGGCTACGTGATTTGGAACCCTCACCTTCCTTCTTTGGTGTAGGCGAGCGCGATTTCGAACCAGTGCGTGAACGTGATGATCGACTGCGCGAACTGCGTGAGCGAGAATGAGAACGATGATGAGAACGGGAACGACTGTAAGTATTAAACTGATTACTTAATAAGGGAAACCAAACTGGCACAAGAAGCACAAATTATAAAGATCAAAAAAAAAAAAATCCTTACCTTCGACTATCTCGTCTTTCTGAATCGTCAATCAATTTCAGTTTGCGTCCATTCACTTCCTTTCCCTGCAGTTTGTCAAGCGCTCTTTCAAGATCATCTCGGGTTAAAAAGCATACAATCCTGAGAAATGCAGTGTTCAGTAAGAAAAATAAGAAAGTTTTGCAAGATGTCAGACATTCAACTATCTTTTGAAGGAAAACAGGCAAAAGATCTTACCCTTCATTTGGGTGTTGCTTGTGCGCATCTGCGAATGTTACTTCACCAGCGGTTCGCATAATATCTTTGAGATCCTGCAAAACATTACCGCTATCAAACGGAAGGATTGACAAAGGAGTACATAGGAAACAGACCATATACCTTTTGCTTTCAAAGAGCAAAGCAAAGCATCGCCAACCACCAAACCTCTATATCACTATATTTCCTTACTCAAAAATTGAGCCGAGTGCCAAGATATCTTCCTAAATATATAATCTTCCCTTAATGTACATTATTTCCATGCGAACAATCTCATATCTTCTTGTTGTAGCAAATGATCTTTCTTACCTCAGATTTTTGATGCCAAATCGGACGCAAGAAAATGTCGAAGACAAAGTTCCCCGTCATAAGGAACATGCGATCGTCAAAAAAAAGGGAGAAAAAACTACCATCCAATAAACTTATTTTGGTAAATGTCAAACACCTTTTGTTTCAGCGATACGAAAGATCGAATTTATTTTTAGAGAACTGACCAGATCATGTTCTGATGTGGCCCTCACGATGCGGCAGTATACCACCACTAGCCTCAACCTGCGACATCAGAACGAAACGAAACAAGCACCGAACCACGAGCTCGGGCCCGAACGCACCAATAACAAGACGCCTACGCACCAACGATAAACCATTTTGAGCTGCACCAGCTCGCGACTACCTCCTGGCCAATTGGGTGCCTTCACTTCGGCCTTATCTTCATGAACAGAATTACGTAGCCATCGAACGCGCTTCATAAGGCTGTCCAAACAACGCGCGTTCGATGCAACAGAAAAAAAAAAGCTAAAAAACTAAATATTTTCCGATTTCTATCTTTCCATATATCAGCAACACCTCAAGCAAAGGTGTTATCAAGGAGCTGAAATTTGGCCATTTTCTCTGCTTATCCATCGGGTAACTATACAGGTTTCGTCGCCAGTGCGTGGTGTGTCACCTTCCCTTTACATACACATCACCCTCAAACAACGACGTATGCATCAGGTGATCGTAAACAACGTCCCAACATTACGTTATCTCACCTGCCACGAACAACGAGACGAAAGGTTTTCAACAATTAGTCGATAGCGTGTTTGTTGTGGTGGACCATATCTGAAAAAATAATATTTTGGAATTAAAAAAATTCACGTAACATAGACTAATTTACAAAACCAGAAAAACCAATAGAACTACGAATATCTGTGCTTTTCTAAATTCAAATACACTAGCCTTGATTCACGTCTCGGCGGAGGAAATCGATCAAAACCGCCAAATCCCATACGACTTCGAGGTCCACGACGTGAAAACTCCAAAATCACACGTTCACCACATAATTCTTTCCCATTTAACTCATATACTGCATCGTCTGCATCGCGCGGATCATCAAATTCCTATAATGATTGTTCTCTGCTTTTCTAAATTCAAATTTAGGCAATAGAAAAACAATCTTGAACGTGCAACCATAACCTAACCTGTTAATTTTGATTAGCTGATGAAAACTGCCCTTCAAGAAATACTTCTGTATAAATCAAAGAATTGATTTAAAGGAATCCGAAAAACGGGCATCTACTCATCGAATTTAATGGCATCATAACACACTTCGAATGTGCTTTATTTAAGAGAAACATTCACATTCGATTGACAGTTCATGATTTTGTAAACTAAACAGATGTTTCAGATGAATTCGTTACTAGTAAGATTTGAAAGTCGCAAAAGAAACTAAGTAATATTTACTAAACAGCGGTCAGACAGAGTTTTCATAACCACAATAATGAGTCTGCAAGTGAAAAAGAAAAGCCAAATTGCTCATTCAGTAGGAATGAGTCAACGAAATTCTATTGTTCAGTAACAATTCTCAAGTTAAAAAAGAACTGCTCAGAAACATTACAGTCATCTTATTGAAAAACAAAATGACTGTAATGTTTTGAAATGACATGTAACCATATAACAGGTATATTTTTTTTTGACTGCAAGCTCATTACATTCTATATATCACCATCATATGAAAACTGGCTTGCTGTGACATATGACTTTTGGCTATCAATACCCAGAAAGTAATGTTTATTATATATATATATATATCACTACCTAGGAAGTTAAACTTGTGAATAGCCTAAAAACTATGTGTTTACATAAGTCAAGCATCTTCGATAAAGGAAATATCAGCATTAAGCTAACAAGCTAAATTCTATCACGTAATATTTTTAAAAACGTGTTGTGCATAAAGCAAAATGAAGCTAATTGAGCTATGCAATATAGGTATAGGTCTCAGTTTTTCTATTAAATATATAGGATAAAAAAAAGAAATGATAGGAGAAACAGCTGCTTTAACTACGCTTTTCAAAAATTATTGTTTTCTTGATCAAATTAATGAATTAAAAACAAGTGAAATTAAACACAGTTCCTGCAATTTAACGAAGTATGTATTTCGAAAATGGCGGTTTGATCACTGATAAAGCAATAATCAAAGGAATGACAGAAGGAAGAGAACATGTCACTCTACAAAAAGGATCCACAACAACCACTTACCACAAAACCGAAACCATTCTTCAGAACAATATCACGTATGCGTCCGTAACCACGGAAGAAATGCTCAATGTCACGCTCGGAGGCTCTGTAAGACAGACGTCCCACGTAAACACGCGCGCTCATGTTACTCATTTTAGCCGACAATGAGGAATGTATTCTGCAACAGGAAAATGCTTTACAACGATAGCAAACCCGCAACGCAACCGCGCACGCTCTTCAGACCATTTCAAAGCAGGATAAGCCTTCGCTGACTCTCTGACGAGGAGAAGTGCCAAGAAAGTGAGGAGCAGACGAAAGAGTACTAATCAAAGAGTATGCAATTGTGGTACTTTGAGAAGGCATTAAATAGAGTGCACTGCTTTAGACGTAGGACAAACGTAAGACAGTACGTAATGAGTGTAAACGCAAAGAAGTGAGGCAGTGCGTCCACAATGTTACGAAGTGGCAACGTTCCAAGTCAAGAGAACAACTGGTACCAACGACCCTGAAGTAAAGGTGGCGTGACTTCGAGAAGTGGGAGTGTCGGGCGGTATCTGCAGTTGTCTTCCTCGTTTGCGCCGCACAAGATGGCACCACTGCAAGCAATCTCCACTGACAATTTAGGAAGCCATCTTCAGTAATAATTTAGGGAGTTTGTCCCGGAACGGTTCGGAGACACTATGCCACTGTCGCATTGCTAGGTGTTTCACTGCATTTCAGGATATGAAACGGACACATCTCAGGACTCTGTGCAGAATGATTTCGACTCGCCATAACGTCGCAAATTTACGCTATACGCATTGCAGAAGAGTTGTTACTGTTATGGGCATCGAAACCAGGCAGTTTTTTTTTTTTTTCAATTAACATAAAAGAAAAGTAGCCTCTGATAATTAGATTACAGTAAATTGCACTTGAAGAGAATATAATCATAGTAATACATCTGCATGTTCTACGGTTCTATTGCTTCTTTTAGATGATTGCAGTTTTTAGTTTAAATCTGTGATAATAAATTTGAGATCAGTTGTGATGATACGGCAGTATGTATTTTGAACAGTGACAGGAAGATTCTCAGTTCTCGTCGCTATGCAGACCGCGAAGTACAGAAAAGACTAGGTGGAATTTGTCCAGCTGCAGTGGCTGACCAGGTTCATTATTTCGATTGATATGCTTCGTATTCTTTAAGTTGTTGGAGAGCTTTTTTTTTTTGCTTTTTTTTTGAACTGAAGAAATGGTAATCCAAGTTGGTAGCCATTTGGAACATTTTTATGTTTCAAAACGAAGTAGTTATAGATAATTTGCGTATCAGTTACTTGTGTTTCCATGTTATTATGGGGTATTTATAGCACCGTTCGTACATCGATCTGTTTGTTGACGAATGCTTAGATGAAAGTCGAGTAAGACTTTGTAATCTGGACGGTATAGCGGTGACAACACAACCTGGTCTGGTCATCTGTCTTCGAGTTGGTACCGAAAAAGCTATCTCTTTGGCAAGGTATATCGTAATATGCATGGATTTCCCTGACTTTAAAACATAGTATAAAGCTTGTTAATACATTTTTTTTTTCTTGATTGTGGTCTTTTTGGAGACATTGTGAAGCTCCCCATCCTAAAGCATTATTGCATATATTTTAGAAAAGGTTGCATACCGCTTATACCAGTTCATCACATGCAAGCACATGCAACGGTGGCTACTTTGATGACAGAAATACCTTATCCATATGTGTCTGTTCTGATTTCTGGTGGCCACTCAACAATAGCTGTAACTAATGGACCGGACGACTTTGAAGTTCTGCTGACCAGTATGTGTGGTAGTCCTGGCGAATGCATGGATAAAATTAGTCGAGCACTTCATTTCGAGGAACCGGAGTTGCTTGGTTTACATCCGGGAGCTGCCCTTGAAGTGATGGCGTCAAGGTGCGAATTTCATTTATTCCTGCAAATTAGGCAGTATTTTCAACTGAGGAGCTTGTATTTAGATCGTCCGTGGATGGTTACAAACGGTATCCAATCGATGTAAACAAATTTATGAAAATGGCTTTACACTTCAACTTTTCATGGATCAAGACCACGTACTTGGCTATGATTTCGAGGCAGAGCATTCTCAGTGTCCCTGATTTTTGTGCAAGCGTTCAGGTATTGCTACCTGAGTAATCCATGGGTTTCAAAACTTCCTGGCTTTTTTTTTGTTTGTTGTAGAAGATTGCAAGAGACTTTTGCTAGTTGGCATGCGTTGTTCAAAGAAAATATTTTCAGCATTCCATCGCAAAATATTTGGCTGAGAAATTAAGCTGTTGTTTACAATACTTGAATGATTCCAATAAGGTTTTATTCCATTTAAAGTACTTTTTATATGTGTGCAGATACAAAATGGCATTTTTTGCATGATGTCATTAAACCTAATTCAGAGCTTCATGATTTTACTATGAGTGATATTCTTTGGAACTATTTGATTTCATTCCAAAACTTTATCCTTTTTTAAACTAATTGGATTATTCCACTATTGCAGATCCCATCCCGTAATCGTTTGGTTTTCGTCTCTGGTGGTGTTGCTTCCAACAAATATATATTAGCTAGATTTAATAATGTTTGTGAACCTCTTGGCTACAATGTCTATGCTCCTTCACAGTTTTATTGTTGCGACAATGCAGAAATGATAGCATGGAATGGTATACAATTGCTAGCAAAACGGCAAGTTTCACATTTGGATGGACAGCAAAACTGCCAGAAATAAGTGGATTGAACTATCGATAATTGAGAAGTGTAAGCTGGACAATTGACTGAAACTACTAATCCATTCTAATTTTGAGTTTATACAATCAGTTGTTATTTGCAGTGTGTGGCATTTGTTAATACAGCACTTATTTTTAAGTATCTCAGTTCCATGAGAGATGAATTCCTCCCCAGTTAAATTTATCCATCAGTTCTTAGTTGTGTATCGTTCCATTAAAGTTTTTTTAGTTTTTCAGTTATTTCCGAAACCTTTTTCAGGACAGTTTCCGTTATAACACCTGATAAAATACCTACAAATATCTTTGTTTCGTCACGATGTCCTATCGGCGTCGATATTTCTTCAAATCTTCGGAAATATCTAGGTATGCCTTGCGAAACGCCGGCAGAAGCAGCAGAAAGGCGTAATATTTCACTTAAATCATAAGCCGTGATGCAATTGTATTTTTTGGAATAAAGGAACAACGAGGCAGTACACTTGTAATTATAAAACTATGCTAGCAAATCAAGATTCAATGGCATTCTATTAACATTAAATCTTTTACTAGAAAAAATATGCTTAGATCTATTCTATGCATGCATTATGTTTTCAGTAACAATTCAGTCAAGATTTTTTTGAAAAATTTTTTGAAATTGCTACTTGAAATTTTTGAAGTAAAACACTCAACTATTTAGTGAAGTCGGAACTCATTACTTTTGAAGGCACTCAGTTCCATTCCGATTATATTTTTTACGAGTTGAGATCGATAATATAAATATGACGACAATAACAAACTCATACAAAACGCATACATGAAAATGTAAAGCAATACTTATGCAATTAAGTAATATGATTTTAATGTGCTTATTGAAAAATGGAAATTACATAAAATACGCTCACATTGTACAGTCGAAGCAAATTTTAAGGGAACTTTGTGTTGCAAAAGTTTGTGGGACAAGATATAGTTTCCTGTTCAAGGATGTTCCATGTCTTTTCCGCCTTAAAATCCCAAAATCTCAGTCAACAAGCATTTTCAAAAAGAATTTTTAATCGGAAAAATTACCAAATAGATAAGAAAAAAAAAAAAAAAAAAAGAAAATTGGACGCACTGTTGTGGTATACGGATGTACAGAGAAATGTAAAAAGCAGCAGGAGCAGGAGCTGTAACCATACTTCAACATATAGCGGCGATGTCATTTCAGTTTGTTTAATTCATTTTATGCAGCTAAATCAGTGATAACTGATGATGACGCTGACGGGCATAGAACTGAAACAATCCACAATAAACGGTCTATCCTTCCAATAATTGCTGCCACATGAAATAGTTCTCTTGTTTATCATCGTTACTACATAGTTGTTAGTTGGGAAAAAAAGCTGAACTTAAGAAAACCAATTTAAGAATATCCCAAGTGATATGATAATCAAAACATATTTAGAAATGTTCAAAGCGATGCAGTAATAGAAAAAATCGAATTTCATGACAATCGGAAATGTTACCAGTTAAGATATAGTCAGTGAGCATGCTTGGTACAGCAGGACTGTCTTCATCAATTGCTCGCAATACTGAAATTGTTTTTAAAGATAAAGACAGGACAGAAATATTTGTTTCCAACTAAAACATATTGCTTTTGCCAGTGAACACTGGTCAGGCTAAACCATCAACAATTCAACCAACAATATATTGAAACTGCTTGACAACTAATGTCACGCTACATTGAACAAAAGTGTTACTTTAATAATTAGATTAAAGAACGTTAAAATAATCACATTTGATGAGCGCCATCAATGTATTCATGTCTACATACAGACAACTTTCATCGTATGGAATTGTCGCCGTCATATACTACAAAAAAATGATATTCTAAATTTTAATTCAAAGACATTTGCCTTGAGATGATCATATCGTAAATCCTCAAATCAACATTAAACATTAGAAACGATTTTCGCAACAATTAAATCAGAATCATTTGGCCAGTTGCGTACAAGTTATGTAAAATGCCCTATTACAATGACAAAAGAAAATTTCACAAGAAAGTACTGATGCAACTTCCCTTTTCAAATTCAGCATACGACGCAAACTAAGAGCACGAAACTCTAAACATCTCGACCTCTTTAAAATCAAAGCAAGAAACTTTAACCCATAAATTTACAGATTCGATTAATTCTGTAACACATGCTTGCATATAAATCTTATCCAAATCTAATTTTTAACCTGTGGCAATTGTGACGGGTCAGTTTTCAACGGTTTACGTTTTCGTTCATTAGTGAAGTGTCTTCGTCGGTTCTGTATAGATAAAAGCAACGATATGAATGTATTTTTCATTTCCTTCTCATATTCTAACTCATCACGATGAGCCAACTGCTCCACCAAACTGTCATTGTAGACCTGAAGCAAATAATGCTAAATGGAAGAAAATGTGTAAGATTAACAACGATGCATGCTATTATTGTTTAATTCTATTCCCAGAAAAATGAATTAAAAATTCTGACATACTCAAGAGCTGGACAAATACTTTCACAGATATTATTTCCTTGTGAAGTATTATATTAATTTGATTTCATTGATTTCATTATCAACTTCATATTAATTTTTACTTGTATAAGCTGCTCCATTTCAGCACTCAGAGCAAGCAACCTGCTATAGGAAAATGATTCCAGATCTGAAATTTTAAATAGTTAAACTTCAAACAGATCGCTGTAAAGATTTAGTAGGAAACAATTTCGGAAATTACAATTTTATATACGAAAACACAAGGAAATACAGCAAAGCACTGGAAAGTAGCGAGTTACGAAGTTTAATACCACGCAAAAAAGAATTGCCACAACGACGACAAAAAATTAAAAATTGTAATTTTTTTTTGTTTTCCAAAACGTTTTTTCTTGAAAAGTAACGTAAGTTATGAGCTTTAAACTGCACATCCGAGCGCTAAAGACATAAAGGAAAGGTCATGCATTCAAAAATTTTGCATTCAGTAAGTAGAGCAAAGAAAGTTCCATCCTTGAATTGAAAAGAAAAAAAGTCGAAGAAGAAAAAGAAAAAAAAAAAAAAAAAAACGATTTGTCACTGTTTAAAGGCAGGATGCTTTTCATTCTTTTTCACAACAGTTAGAAATTCATCCCATTCAAATGTACTTACCTTCTAACACTAAAAAATGATGAATAATCTATTATTAACAGTTTGGAAATTTCGGCAAAACGAGTACCGAACAAATTGTTCAAATATTTCAATAATTTGGTTAGGTCAGCAAATTACACAGTATTGATCTTATACATTCTTCTGTTAACATTTGTACTGACTTTCGGAATTCGACGTAATGGCAACGGCCTGTCGTAGTTTGATATCCATGTCGTATTGTCCGTTTGGTAATGGTGAACGCATTGACGAATACATGCTATCCATCGATTCCATTGTACGGTCAGTCATTACCGATCCCGAAAAATCACACGACTGAAAATTTCAGCTAATCTCTGTCATTTGTATAACAAGTGTACCGAACATGTTCAAACAGTATAGCAATAAATGAAATGTTGAGCAAAGTGTAAAATTACCTGAAGCATTTGGTCAATTTCTTCGATCACCTCGTCGGCAGTTTGTGGAGGTGACTCTGACAAAGGACCACGCTGACTGATCAATTGATGCATATCTAGTGCACTCCTCAGCTCCTCATCTTCCGACAAATCAATACCAAGATCACTGTTTTCCTGAAAAACGATGCCTAAGTCTCCTGGTGTTCATTGATTTAAAACTTTATAGGGAAGGAAACATGAACTTGTCATAGTAGGTGATGAGCTTCAGAAGTTTTCGGTTTCTAACAAAAATTAGATATAAAAGGCGAACAATAAAACTTTTTCGCTCAGTAATATACAATTTATACTCACTTTGTTTCGCCGAATAAAATTAATATCAGCTGAATTTTGCGATAATCTTTGATAGGGAAAATTATCGCTAAAAATGGAAACAGCAGCTCCAACACAAGGGAAGAAACTCACAGCAGTGACAGTAAACTGATGGCACATTGATGCTAGGAATAAAGATTTGTGCTTGTATTCTTCGCTTGATACTAATAAAAGCCAAAGTAGAAATAGAAACGCCAAAAGCACTGTTTGAGAGCAATCCAACAGAGAAAATAAAACTCCAACAAAAAATTTTTCTGTACTCAAAGACGAAAAATTTGCTCTTTTACTCTAGTGGAGACAAATAATTAGAAAGGAGAAAAAGAAGAAAAAAGTAAAAACCATGAGGAGGAAAGCTTAATGATATCTATACTTAAAAAAATTCTTAAAGGTCTCTTTCGTTGCACTCAGTTACGAAACCAAATGACATAATCAATTTTAACAAATTTATCATTTCTCAATTTCAAGTTTTTTCCCTTCTAATTTCAATCTTTACTTATCAAACGAGAACAGTTAATTATTGATGGATAGGAAAACATAGAAGGACTCATGACAAGTTCGACAATGCTACTACCACATCAAATGATCAAGAGAACAGTGATTTCCGTAGTCTCATATGTCAATGATGAAGTTATCCCTCGGTTTCATGAAAGTAAGTCCATGTGATTGGGTTACCAGTATTTACCCCACCAAAGTCAGTGACTTCGAATTTAATAGCTCTCAGCGTCAAATTTAAAGACTCTGTAGCCCATCCGCAACAGCTTCTGGGATATGTATCGCCCTTTCATATCATGCTACAACTTCTTTCACTGCCACAACAAATCGAGGTTTTCTTTACTTTTTTCTGCAAAAATTTATCAACTGTTTAAATGAACACTTCCACTCTGCAAATCGACAACGATTCATAAAATTAAGAATGAAGAAAGTATTGAATTTTAACTATTATAAGGAAGTATAAAAGTGATTGAATAACAATCTAATAACATCAGATGGATTCACTTTTCCAACACAATTCATATGAGATGAGTACAGAGAAAGAGAGGGCATTTCTTTATCGAATTTCTGCCTACCAAAAAAAAAATTTTTTTCATGGGTCTTTCACAATAGCATTGCTACTAAAGAGCTTTTTCAATGGTAAATGGGGAAAAGAAAAATCCTCTCCCCTTTTTTTCTCTCTCTTTCTCTTTAAAAATTATTTGAGAGGAGGCTAGATCTCTGAAGCGTGCTAGAATTATACGTTTACTACTGCCTTCATCCTAAGCGTATTTAGCTGAAGCCTTATATGAGTTCTGTTAACAAATGAATACATTTTTTAAAATTCCACTGGGAATCTCTCTTCTTGATTTCATAGTTACCAAATGAGTTTCATAGTATGGCTTCTACAAAGAGTGGTTACATAATTCTGCAGAAATTATTCATCTAAATGTAGCTGAAAAAGACAGTTCTCTGGACGGCAAACATGCAGTAAAACATATTATAGGAGGACTTCCTCTCAATATCTTAGCGAAGTTACGTAATTCGCTTAAACTGAAGTAATTCAACTACTAAATTTAGTTATTAACTGCATATTACGAGCTATCCTATACTTTAACCCTAATTTCCTTTTTCCTCTTAATCCAAAAAGAATTTTAATTTACTGAAATGCAGTAGCAATCTCGGTGGTCAAAAAATTTTAACTAGCAGGAATGTTGAAATGATTTCATAACTATTTTAAAGATTCCATTACACTTGAACTTATAGCTTTAACTAGAAAAGTATGATTTCAGCCCTATTTTGAATCATCGCAAAAAAAAAAAAAAAAAAAAAACCGACGGTAGAATGAACCTTGCGTGGACCTTGAAGATCGAGAGCAGGAAGTTGTAACCGCCTTGTCTGCGTCTTCGAAAAATCAAGTGGAGGCATATTACCGAAATTTCCTGTCAGAGTCCACCAAATTCTGGAAAAAAATAATGCCATTATCTCCAGATTTAATCTTATTCAAAATTAAAATAGATATTACTGATTAATTGTCCGCAGTATTCGCAAAATGGATGTCTTCGCATAGTATTACCAGGACTGATTTGATACTGTGACACGAATAGAAATTTTTTGCGAACTTCAAGGAAATAAAATTGATACCGTGAAAGATATGTAATTCTCAGTCTTAATTCATTTCATATGATTACAATCTTGATATATATGAGTTCTACGGAAAAGAAATCAAACTTTTCATAAAACTGAAGAAATTATTTCATCAAAGTTTTCAGCATACTTTATACCAAGCTTATTTGTGCAATATTTGTTTGGAGTTCTGCATTTTTAGAATGAGTTAATCTCGGTTAATGGACAAAAATTTTCTGATCTGATTTCTACCATGTTCAGGAGACATAGAAACAGAAATAAACAGTGTTGAAGTATTTTACCAATTATCTTCTTTACGCAATGTTACAAATCTAATAAACATCTTCGCAATCCCGAAGATAAAGATAAAATTTTAAATGCTTTCTAAAGTTACGGAAGCGTAAATAAATCGATTTTCAGATTTGTGACCTCCTTATATATTAGATTTTCTCCAACAATTTGCCTTGAATGCCTTAAGTAATTATAAAAAATTACAAGGAAAGCTTCATTTTTTGCCCACTGATTTTTCCGTTATCCTATACCGAAAATTTTATTAGAGCATGTCATAACAAGAAATTATGTATTTCTCCTTTTTGAATTTGTTCCACTGTTACAACACAAGAAGTGGAAATGATGAAAAAAAATGAATGCTATCACTAAGAAATTATAAAAATGGAAAAATGAATCAGGAATTTAATCCTTTCTATATGAGTGAACAAGAGTAAAAATACGAACCTCCCTCTTATATATGCTTTCACGAATTTCCAAAAAATTTACTCAGCTTCACGACATCACTGCTAGATCCCTCATTCAATAAGATGTGTCTTATCATATTGATATGATCACATCGTGCAATTCAATTTTTTTCATGCATTTCAAAAGTTTTAAGAAAACCTTAAAAGCAATAATGAAAATGTATACACAATAAGTTATCCACTCAATATTTGCTTACCTCATAATTGAATCTATCAAAGAAAGGGAAGTTAAAATAGAAAAATACAAAAAACAAGTTGCAATACAGCAAAAATCTAAAAACTATGTAAGCAAGACGCCGAGATAAAACTTTGCAGAAAATATTTTTATTGTATTTTATGTGTTGAAACTTAGTATAGCTGACAGTTTTTTCAAAGTTAATTTCAATATAATTCAAAAAATGTCAAAAACGAATTGCATCCTTTAAATTAAGGCAATCTATTTTACATAGAAGAGTGAAGAACGACAATACCAACTCCTACGATGAATGTTTGTGGAATTATTTTCGATAACATTGACAGCAATAATTAGAGCGGTACTTATCCCACTCATTTTTAAACTTTTGATTGAAATAAGAAGGAACTACTAATATATGCTGTGAATATCTGATATAATGCAGAGACCTCAAAATTGTACTGATTATAACAGTATCTTTCTCAGGAAAAACATTTTTTTTAAAGTGAAGGCACGTATGATATCAAATAAAACGTTGTGCTCGAATAATCAAAAAACTTACTGGCTTTCAGACATGATTTCATCCTGTGATCGCACTTGTATAGGTGCTATTTCTTCGGTGGCCTTATTAAGATCTTTGAAGCAGTGCGAGATTTTCTGATCAAATGTTCCGACCAAATCTTCCAAACTACCCGATAGATTTTCCGCATCGAAATTTTCATCAAAATTGTTCTCGCAATCACTGGTCCTACAACAAAAAATACCAGATGAAAAGTGCTAAAGGGTTGGATCATTAGGACTTAAAAATTTTAAGGAGTCGACTTTTGTAACTGAATTTTTGACTTTTAATTTTATTAAAGAACTTTCATATACTTTTCTGAACCTTTTAGTCTTTGGTAAGAGTTTTCCTCCTTTCGGATACTTTTGCAATCTAGCAAATGAAAGTTGTATCCAAGTTTGCCCACAAAACCATCACTTGCATTTTTTAAGGATATTTTATAAGGATTTTCAATTGGTTCCTACTTTCAGCGTTTTCAAAACATATTAGCCCAAAATCTTCAAGTGAAAAGTGTAAGCTGAAACGAAAAACGGAATACGGTTGAGAATTAGATAGCAGTCGAAATATTCCCTGCGATTCTAAGCTGAGAAATGATGGCCATGTTTTGAGTGATAAAATTTTTTTTTATAATGCACAATTTGAAAATGAAAGAAAGATGAATAACTTACGTCATATTCTCAAGAGTATTTTATCAGTGTTCAAAAATCAACTAATCTAATTTCATATTTCAACAAGCAGATAGAGACGAATTTTTACATATCCTAGCAGTAGAGTAGCATATATCGACCCGAACAGTTATATAACACTTTTGGTTCGAGAAAAACCCTGAAAATCATTTGCATGTCACATACGCAGACCCTAGTGAATCACAGCACCATTGTTCACTGCTAATCTGTGGCTTTCATTGTATCAGCCAACAGCTGTTTCGAAATGTCCCCTATGAAACTTAGACTCTCACGACTATCCAGATTTTAGTTCTCATCACTCAAATCTCTTCCTGGGATCTACCAGTCGAAGAATAGAAGACGGAGCGGGGAGAAGGAAAGACGACAAGGAATTAGAAGAGTGGAAGAGACATTCCACATATAGACATGCGAGGTGCAGAGTGAGTGAAGTTTTCATTCCCGAGGTTAACAACCTTTAAGGTACCAAAATTGCTATAAGGATAGCCGGGGCAGAGAAAGAGAGACGAAAACATTGGAAGAGAAAAAAGCAAGAATAAGGAATGCATTCCATTCAGTTCACAATTCTGTTCAGGTTTATTCTCAGCACTCTTTTCAAAACTGGTCACATGGCTTGTCACTTTATATGCAATATAAACTAACATACTCTCTTTAGAGTAAGTACGTATAGTTATCCCATGGAACTGTTTAATTCCTTATTTCTTTCATTGAAAAGTAAAATTAAAGACAGACTCAAAGTATTACTTAATGGTCATAGAATTAGATCATACTTGAAAGAAAAAGTTAGAGCTAAGACGAAGTCATTCAGCATATCATCTACGTTTGAAATTCAGGACAGTGAAAAATGACTGGCCAATACGAATTCTATAAAAGAGACACAATTAAAGAAAAGGAACAGACTCATAGCATTGACACAATGTTAGCTATGCTAATGTGCCTCTATAACATTGAATAGGCATCTGCAGAATCCTTCAGTTTTTATGTCTACTCGTCTACTTATTTCTTTATTCTATCTATCTATCTATCTCACTTTAATTAAGACTCATTTAAAAGATAGCACAGAGTATGGAATGAAAATCGATGATATACTGCGCTAAAATATTAATAAGTCTAAGTCTTAACCTAAATTTCTCACAGAAATTAGTAAGTTCACTTTACTAATCAATTCTAAACAGAGAAAAACATCGAAAAAGATTCAAATTCCACCATATTTTAGCATGCTATAAATAAAATATTATTACTCGCAACAATTTCTACAGTTTCCACTTTTTCTAATTGCTTCAACTACTTCACTTGTTGCTTCTCCTTCATTATTTTTTCTTTTCCCCTTCTTTATTGATTTTAAGTGTAATTTTAAACAGTATTAGTGTTACATATTTATTTATAAATAAAAAAAACTCGACGCTTCTCATCAATTAAACAATGAAATGATTCTTTAAATTTTTACGCACACACAGTTTACAAAAATTCTTTACAGAAAAAAAAAATGAAAAAAGACGACTATGGAAAAAAGAAAATAGAGGAAAGGACACAAAAGCTATGACATCAAACTTTATGCAAAAAAACTTCATTTCTAACAAGTTCATTTGCTCGCATGATGTCAAGAACTACTACCAATCACCATTAAACTCTGTCGATAAATTTAAAAACTGAAGTTGGAATAATCGAGAAAATGAAATTCAGAACAACGGTGTTCAAAATTTTCAGGAAGATTATGAAAAAGGGAAATACTGCCAACTGATGTATAAGTTATTTTATGTTACAAGGAGAAAATCCATGAAAAGACTCAAGCGGTGGAAAGGAAATCTATGTGAATTATGAAAAATCAAGTCCAAAAAAAAAAAAAATCGGCTGAGAAATGACTTGGACAGAGATCAAAACTTCTCTTTCGCTAACGCGACATAATTCTCGTGCCTAATACTTCAATAAAGAAAGATGAACAAGTTTTGGTCCTCTCTATAAGTGTCAACCTTGTTTGGTTCTACACTGCAGCTTCAGCTTTAATTCATATGTCATCGGATTTGAAGTCAAAAAAGTAGAAGTAGTAATTTTTGAGCAAAAATGTAAATAGAATTCAAGATCGCATTACTTTCCACCAATCACCTTTAGCAACTTGACTGAGTGGTTGACCAAGGAAAGATAGCCCGTTACATTAAAAAAGACCGTTTCGATTACTCAAAAAAGAAGGACGATTCCTCACTGAGATGACGGTCAAAGCAAATCAGGATGTATAAGTTATTTTATGTTACAAGGAAGAAATCCATGGAAAGAGGACTTCAGTCTAAGATTAATTTAACATTTCACTGCTTAGATATGAGATTTGTTTAACTGTAAATATAGTGATAGATAAAGCAAGCAGCGAATAGAAAAGAATCGACAAGAAGCAATTTGGACAATTAATTAATGAGCCTTCATTTCACCCTCTCTCTCTCTCGCATGCACAGCATTAAAAAACCTAAATGAGAAGAAGAGAACAGTAGAAGAATTTAAGATCAGTTGAGAAGAAAATTCCAGTGTTGAAATAAAAAGATCAGGCACTTACGACTGCTGTGATGCCACTTTGATGAAGTCGAGATCATCTTCCAGATGAGCCAGAGGCACTTCCGGTACACTACAGTTTATATTTTCGACCATTCCCGTACCCATAACCATAATAAAGTCATACCAGTCACAAAGAAGCAGGAATAAAATTATACCGGAACTGGAATTAGGATTAGAGCAGATTTGAACAGAAATGCCAGTATCGATGACTTGGGTCTGTCGACGACTGTCACCACCTTCAATACTTTATTTCTTGATAGAGATCCTACGAGGTATGCGTTGGTTCGCACCCTCTAGATGAATCGCTGTGAGGCAACTAACCCGAAAATCAATCATTCTTTCTCGAACTATTTGCTGCACTGGAGACATGTAACAAACATACAGACATCACAGACACAGACAGAGACACAGACATGCATTTGCTCTGTGTATTAGCATCAGAGCCTGGTACTACTTGCACGCCCCCTTGTCCCTTCAAGTTGACAATCCTTTGTGTCTTCCGTCAATAAAGCAACCAAATAGCTTGAGAGAGAGCAGTAGTGGTATACTTTCCCGCACTGCCAGCTCAGACGTATTTGCCTCTCTCTCCTTAACTCATCCAATCCTTAAAGAGACCTACAATCGAGGCATTGTTTATAGTGCATTGGCCAGTAACACAACTGCGCCTCATATACGCCCATTAAGCATCCGCCATTCATCAACTATTTTGCAATCTGTTTATTTTCATAACTGCACTAGTTAAGCTGTCTCGTCTCATCTGACCATGTTACTGTATCAAAGTAAAGGTAACATGCAAAGTTTGTCTCGAAATTTTGTGGGTAAATTCATCTTGCATCAATCATATTTGGGAATAAGTATACATAAAGCAAACATGATTGATAAGCGATGACAGAAAGTAAACGACTGTACAACTTAAGGATACATCGAATCACTGAAAACAGTTGATGATATCAACCAGAAAGTACCAATTTCATTCCAGTGCGGTGGCATAACCTGCAACCTTCTCTTAATTAATTAACTGCTACAGAAATTTTCGGTTATGTTTAGTTTTCCTTAGCAGGACAAACGATTAATTAATTATATATCAGAACACTGAAAAAGATAGTAGAATTCGAAGTTATTCATTCCGTTTATTTAAATTATTTCAGGATTACTAATAATTCTTCTTGTTTAGCTTTGTGAATTTCTAGTCATACGTAAAAGTTGTAGCACTTGCAACACTTTATCAGACATAGAATCATTGGAATAGCTGGATGACAATGCTGATACTTTAATTTTTCAGCCCACAATTTTCTTTTGAGATTAGCTGCATGAATATTTCTGACTTAATAGTTAGTTTGCTTGGAAATCATTAATTGAATAGCACTTTATCGCTGCTACGCTCATACTCCATTCATATTTGCATTTTGCATTCTCTAACGATATTCCGTATCAATCCTATCACTTTATTTCAATGTTCATAAAGCTCACGAAAATTGAAACCAAAAATTTCAGTTTAACTGATCAAAGAGAATGTCTATCTGAACTATATTTTTAACAGTTGAGACTTTTAACTTTTGCATTCCTTAGTCTATTGTTTTTATCATCAAACGATAAACAAATCAGATGTTTCATTTCTTGTCGATTTTTTGTCATTGCAGGCTGGAAATACCATTCTCATTATGTTAAAGTAAGCAGCTTTAAAAGGGAGTAATTTACTAATGACATTAAATAGACATTAAAACAAATGTCCGAATTTACAATTAAACAGAATATATGAAGGAATGTGCTATTTAAAGAAGAGCTTCGACAAATAGCTCCATAAATATAATTTTAACCAAATAATTATGTATCTTTAACACTGCGATTAGTTGTTTATTTTCTTGTTTACAAAGTTCTTATTATTGGCACATGAAGGCATACTAAGTCTCCGTGCTCACTATGTAAAATAATCAATGCTCATTGCGTGACAATTAGCGTGACAACTACACGTATGCCAAGAAAAAGATCCATGAAAAGAAGGTTGCTTCTTTCCAGCTGTTCCTTTCAGCACTCACATTCACATCAATTAAATTCACTCACTCATTTCTCAAAACATTTTCCTCACTTCTCTTCTCTCAACGAATTTAACCAATATACCATAGTTAAGGAAAGAACAGTAGCTAGAAGTTGACTTATCAGAAGGGTAACTCCAAACAGTACTCCATCAATCGGATGCATTCTATAGATTTGCATTTAAGAACCTCCAGACGAACTGTTTTGAAGACGAAGTTTAGAGATGATAGTAGTGGAGTGGTGCCTGTCGAAATTCACTTAAACTTCAACGGGCATGAAAGGGATGAGCAATGGAAGGAGAGGGGAATCTATCTAGAGATCTTATGAGCAACTCAGCTTATCAACTCAGATCTTTCCTTAATCCGCTAGTGAATTCATTATCTTAATAGAAAAAATTCAAGGTAAGTTTTCGGCCATATTACAACGAGTTTTTGTCCAGTTTGAATTTTTATTGACCAGTTCTATAATTTGACTCGCAATCCTGACTGGACGTTTGTCCGAGGAATGAGAGTGTAATAGGTGTAAGATTGACGTACCAAGTGAAGAATTTATGAAATAAAGGTTAAGGAACCGGTATTGACAGTGACCTTTAGGTTTTCGAGAGGTATTTCCATTGCAAATGTGTTTGCTTTAGTAGTTTGAATTTCCGAATTTTCGTAATACGCATACTTGTGTTTTTGAACTAAGGAAAAAGAATTGATGTGGTTAATCAATTTTTCAGCTATGGCTACTGCTGAAGAGCGTAAACTTGAGCTTGAACGCAAGAAGCAGAAGCTGGCTGAAATTCGGGAGGAGAAAAGACGCCGGGAAGAAGAACGGCGGCGGAATTTGTTGAAAAATGCAAATCTTGAAAATGGAGCAGGTTTTTTCTTTTACCGATGTCACATTGTGCAAAATCACTTTGTTTATATAATTTCTTTATAAGATTGCATGTTTTCTTATGTGACTGCTTGTCTTCTCTGTTTTCATTTATTAATTTGATAGATATTATGCGTTTTTAGGTTTACTGGAGGAATAGAGATTGAGATGATATAGATTCCTTGAAAAAAAGACGAAGAATTTTTACAATTAATTTAAAAAGGAAATATTTCATCTCTCACTTTAGTCCTTGCATTTCAGTGAGCGATTTGCCGAAAACATTTTCACAAAAGGATCTAGAGGAGATCCTGGAACCGTTAGGAATATCGGCACAGCCTCAGATTGAGTCATCCATTACTCCAAACAACATTGATCACCGAACAGTAGTAAAAATCTTTCTTGCTCTGCCATACTTTTCAAGCAAATAATAATGTGGATTGCAGTTACAGTCTCATCTTTTTATAGTCCTTTTTCTTTTTTCTATCACAATAAGTTTTTCATAAACTGAATTGGTCCTGGATATTGACCACCGATTTTCAGGATGGAGTTGGGAACAATCAGAAATACTTGTCCATTCCCAGGACACAAAAACTTGCTCTTTGTGAAACACAGATAATTTCAGTACCACCTAAGGATGCTGTATGATTTTTTTTCTTGGTTAATTTTAGTGCCAAATTGCATGATATTTCATTTTGCAATCTGTGTGTGATAATATTCAGATATAACATCCTGCTAATATTCAGTATCTAGTACCTGTGAATATATCGTCATTTTGTTGACTCTGTTCTCTTCAAAATATTGCGAAAAAGATTTGAGCTTAAATATTACTGCAGATGGAAGAACAATATTTCCAGGCGACTTATTGTAAAACAACACAAACCGATGACGACCGAGTATCAGCGGGAGAATTTAGTTTAGGTTCTCAGGAATTCGATTATGATGAGGAGATGACGATGTTGGATAAACATTTAGAAATCAATTTTGACGAGTCCCCTACACGAGAAATTGCGAACATTTTGCCTAACTTTAACTTTGGTGTACGTCAACATCAGGAGGTAAGTAGTATTTTAAAGTAATGATTGACATTATGTAAGAATTATGCTGTACGTCAGCTATGAGTTTTGTAGAATGGTGAAGAGAAGAAAGAGGAGGAAACGAAGGTCCCAGATCTGAGTGAAGAAGAAAAGTTACAAATTCTCAGCAGTCAAAAATTTCAACAATTTTTTGATTACAGCTCACGCGTCATGGAACGACAGTTAGCTGAAGAGGTTGACAATATTTAGTTCAAAGATAACGCTTCAAGATGGTTATGTAATCTGTAATCAGTGGCTTCGTTTCTATAAAATAATCTTGTACTACAATAACATTTTAGAGAAGTGGTTGAGATATTTCATAGAATGTTTTTCAAATAATTCGTGTTTAAATTTTGGATTACTTATGGAGGTTTAACTTTTTTAGTGATCCTTATTGTCACATTTTACTTTAATGCATGTCATTACCAAATTTGTGAAACATTTCTATTTCATTTATCTTTTTCAGATTGACATCTTCATCGATTACTCTCGCGACGAAGCTATGGATGAGAAAACTAATAATGGTGAGAAATTGGTGTTTGCTAGAAAATTTGTTGATGAAAAATGGAGTGCAGGAAGGTAAATGTTTCACCGTTGTTATGACCCCAAAATATTTGGACATCATTGTTCATAAAGCACAACATAATCTACAATATTTGTTTATATAAATATCTAGAAGGATTTAATTTTTACTGAATTAATGCGAAAGTTATATTTTTATAATTTTTTGTCCTTTTCGTTTTTAGAGCTGTAACAGGTATTGATCATTGTGTGCAACACCCAGAATTGTTTGCTGTTTCATATGATCAGAATCCTGATTCGCCTCTTGACCCTATCGGAGTGGTACAAGTATGGAGTTGTCGTTTCAAAAAACCAAGTGCTGAGTAAGCATTATATTAAAATAATTGGAAACTTATGTTTTTGCAACTCAATTGATCACAAAACTTGCAGCTAACTTGATTTCAGGTACACTTTCTACTGTCAATCACATATTACTAGTGTGGCGTTTGCTAAATTCCATCCAAATTTAATAATGGGAGGATGTTATTCCGGTCAGATTTGTATGTGGGACAATAGACTCAGCAAGAAGACTCCTGTCAATAAGGTTTCTCCGTTCTCTTTCTCATGTTATATTTTACT